CCTTCAGTGCTTTCCCGGAGCTCACTCCGCTCGCTGTGGCGTCTGCTCCTGCGTGTTCTGGGGCGTTTCAGCCTCTCACACGGTCGCCCCTTCTGCGCATAGTCCCCACCTTGCCATCTGCGTCCTGACCGGCAGCTCTCAGGGAGGCTTCTCCCTCCGCCTCACATTCTCTCGTCTTCCTGGTTATAACCCGCTATGCCTGTGGTTCTCATTCAGGGATGATGTCGTCCCCCCAGGACACTGGGCAGTGTCTGGAGACATTTTTGGTTGTCCCAGGTGGGATGGAGGTGGGACAGGCACTGAGTGGGCGGAGACCTGGAATGCTGCCGGACATCCTTACAAAGCACAGGAGTTTCCTCCCTGTCTTCCCAGCAAAGAATTACTGTGACTTACATGTCAGTTGTATGGCGGTTGAGAAACCCTGTTTCAGGGACTAATGGACACATTATCAGCTGGCATGGAGGGATACCCTGACATCATCATTGCATTATTTCTGCTCTTCCCTGTCTTCTGATTGTTGCTGAAGATGAATCTGGGTTTAGTGTTGAATTTTAACGCCTCACCCCCTAATCGTTGCTAATTTGCCTTTCATGAGCTCACTGGGGATTAAGATCGTTTTGATTTCTTTGCTGAGTCTTCAGGGTGACCTCCCATCAAGGCTAATGATACCGATTTCCCACCTACTAGAGTGATACAGATTTCGTTGTTGAAGGAATCTAGGATAAATAAAAAGTGGGTCACTTTTAGGAAAAGTGGTTAATAATAGTCACAGCCTGCTCAGGTCCGTGGAGCACGGCCCCAGGCACGCTTCCTGCTGCCCCATATAATCTCATGGCATCCCGGTGCTCAGGAGATCAGGAAACCTCGGCCACTGTAGTGAGTCCCCCACACAGCTTAATTTACTCCGTGTAGAACATATTTCATTTTACGAAGCTGTTCTCTGGGTTTTTTTTTTTCTTTGTAGTAGAAATCCTTTTTATGTTTAATGCTTTTGACAGTGTGCAATATTTGATGTTTCTGTAAATGGTCTGTGACCATATCTCTGTGTAGGAGTCTCAATTTTATTATTTCTTAGTAGTTAAGAAATGCTGAAGTCTAGAGTCCTTAAGTATGTCCCTCCCCAGGCCCCTGTGGTCTGAGGATGAATCTTCATGCTCATGGCCCTGCTTCTCCACCACCCTCCACTTGGTCTGAGGCTGCTGGCCACAAGCAGAGGTGCTTGCCATTTCCTCCTTAGTGTCATGTTTAGGAGACAAAGGTCTAGAGCCAGATCCTGATGTTCAGTCCTAGTCTGCTCCTTAAAAACTGTGGCTGCAGACAAGTTACCAAACCTGTCTGTGCTTCGGTGTGCTCGATGGTAAGCTGGGGTGACACATACTTTAGTTTTTACTTCCTGGACTGTAGCCCAGATCAGTGGGTCACTTATGAACAGGATTCAGAACAGCGCGTGGTGTGACCAGCTCACGTGCAGGTTAGCAGCTGAGAATCTCACTGCCAGTCTGTTTCTCTCATCGTGACCGTCGTCATCCTCATGCCTGGACTCAGCACATCTGGAATGATGGTGTGCAGCTTTGTGGTCAAATAGCATAGAGAGCAGGTATGGCTAGAGCCGGGTTTCCATTTTGGCTCAGCCATTCACCAGCTCTGTGCTCTTTGGCAAATCCCATTATCGGCCTGAGACAAGGTGGTGCTGATTGCAGTGTGTACCTGCCGAGGGTGCTGGGAGGAAGTCCTACGACAGAATCCTCGTTTTGTCTGTGGCGTACAGGAAGAACAGTACAAAACTGTGCTTAGGATCTAGAAGAAGAGCCAGATCATTGAAGCCAAATGCCTTGTTTTGAATAAATACGTCAATATTTTAAATGTGTAAATTGTAATTCATTTCAATTTTGAAATGCTATAAGGCATTTGTTTGACACAGACCTCTACGATTTTGTTTATTTATGATTACAGTTTATATTTATACTATGATATTTATGACTCTATATATTGGTTTTTTACTTTCCATGAGGAAGAAAACTGTCCAGCAGCGTGGCATGCCTTCCTCTCCCGGCTTTGCATGGTAGCATTTTGTGTGCGTGGAAGCCGGTTTTATTCCAAGGTCTTGTTTACAGACTAGATTGAGGGATTTTCTTTCTTTTCACACAAACCCTAGCGTNCAGACTAGATTGAGGGATTTTCTTTCTTTTCACACAAACCCTAGCGTCTTCTTTCTTTCTCTGTGAACAGGGTGTCCTGTTCCTAGACCTGAGCTGATCTACCAGCTGGAGCACGGGCAGGAGCTGTGGATGCTGAAGGGACACCTGTCTCAGAGCGCCTATGCAGGTACGAGCCAAGGTGCGGGCAGGTGGGGGACCCTGCAGGCTCGAGACCAGCAGGAGACCGCTGGCCCTGGTTCCCTGGGGAAGCTTCTTGTTCGGGCTTCTCTGCTGCTTTGGAAGCCACGGAGCCCTTTGACCCGAAGTCAGCATTCTTGCCAAGGGGCCCAGAAGGTCTCTGACTCCTCCCACCTCCCAAGTTTCAGGGAATGGTCCTGCCACCCAAGCAGCTTAGAGACTGGAGACGGCCTCTGAGAGTTCCTCACACCCCCAGCTCCCTCTGGCCCCACTTCCGGCCGTGCCCCAGTCCCATGCATTTCACATCTCCTCCGTCTCCCGAATCCATCACTCGCACCACCCCCCTCAGACCGGTCCCCAGGCTCAGTGCACGCTCCCGTCGTCTTTCTCTGGGGGTTGCTGCTAGCCTCGTAACCGGCCTCTGCGTCTGCTGGGCCTCTGGTCAGCTCTGTGTCCTGCACGAGTTACCTCAGAGGTTCGGACTCGCTTCCGGGACTTCCCACTGCCCCAGCCATGATGTCTCAGCGGGTCTTGGCGTTGAAAGTCAGGTCCGCCTCCTCCATTGCTTGATCCTTGACCCTACCGCGCTCGTTCAGGCTCCGGGTCTGCAGCTTCCCCTACCATCGAGCGGGAGAGGTCTTGCCCTTGGCCCTGGCCAGTTCTGAGCCAGAGTCTAGAGCACACCTTTGCAGGAAACTGGTTTCTTCATTCATATTCTGCTTGTTGTGTAATGTGACTTCACTTTTTCTCGACTCACCATACAAATGGGCTCAAATCCTCACAGTCGAAGAAAAGCAGTAAGAAAGTTCCTGTCTCTCGGCGTGTTCACCCACTCTGCGCTCAGTTACTCGCACATTCTGACTCTCATAGGCGCTGCTGTCAGGCGCAGCCCTGCCTCGGTCATCTTGCACGAGATGGCGGTGTCTCTGATGTCTCCTAGGGTGACATGTTGGATTATAGGCCATGCAGGCTCGCCTGCTCACTGGCTAATGGCCGTGGTGTTCTGAAGGACACGTACCAGTTCACACTTGCCCTGAGACCGCATGGGACTTGGTACTGTAGGGCTCCTCGGTCGCTGACAGTGCTCTGCCCCGTGTCTGCTACTCTCAGGTATCAGGTCGACGAAACTGTATCTCATGTGGGCTCCGCTTGCTTTTCCTGCCTCCTGAGGACCTTTGGCACCTGCTCATATGGTCTCAGTCAGTCTGTATTTTCTCCTTGGAGTGTCGTTTCATGATAAATACCTATTTCTCTATTATCTCGCTCGGTGTAGTTCTTACACTTATCTATCTTCAGTTATAGGTGCTGCAGCTATAATACTACTTTTCAGTATTGTTTTTTCACTTATTTAAAGTATGTTTTCTTGAATAGAGCTGCTCATTTTAGTGTAATGTTCTTACATAATAATGATTTTGTCTTGTGTAAAAATCTTGCTTTATTCCCCAACATCAGGAACATAGTCTTGTTTATTTTATCTGAATATTTAAATCCTTTTGATCTGAGGTCGAATTTGAATGTAGTGTGAGGTCGGAATGCAGTTTGCCAGGGTGACATCAGTTTTCCTAGCTCCGTTTACTGTGTTTTCTCTCTTTTTACCACTGAGCTGTCTGCCTCCTCTACCATCCACCAGAGTCCTGTGTGTGTGTGTTTTCTGAGCTCTCTGTTCTTTTTCTCTTGTCCGTTTGTCTTCTCTCTGTGCCAGTACTACCGTGTCTGAGAGTCTGTTTTTCCATCACAGTACTCATCTGAGGCAGTAGGTATCCTTCTCCTTACTCTTGCCTGTTTGATCTTTCCTATAAGTCCTACCATTGAACTATGAAGTTCCTTGATGACCCAGTTGCCATTTTATAGGGAATTGTACTGGATTTTTTTTCTTCACTTGGGTAGCATTGACAGTTTTTTTTTTTTTTTTTTTTTAAAGATTTTATTTATTTATTTGACAGAGAGAGATCACAAGCAGACGGAGAGGCAGGCAGAGAGAGAGAGAGAGAGGAGGAAGCAGGCCTCTCGCTGAGCAGAGAGCCTGATGCAGGACTCGATCCCAGGACCCTGAGATCATGACCTGAGCCGAAGGCAGCGGCTTAACCCACTGAGCCACCCAGGCGCCCGACAGTTTTATATTATTAAGTGACCCCCCCATACCGGCCCAGGTTTTGTTGAGTAATTATGGACATACAGGTTTCCCCACTATGCAAAATTAGAGTGTTCCTGGGAAACTTCTCATGACAAAGTGTGAAAGAAATTACCATTGATTTATATGGAGAATATTTTCACCATGAATGTCTTCAAGTACAGCATTACTGTGTTCTCATGTAGATCACGTCTATTTTGCAAGTCTGTTCACCATACTGTTCCTCGGGCAAACGAGACTCGTGTCCAGCCCAGTCCTGCTCACTTCCTGCCTTACGAGCCTTGTCCTGGGAGGCCTCACTGTCACCCCTGTCAGAAACTTGGGAATCCTGTTTCCTTCTCTCCTCCCTTTCCCTGAATCCTCATCAGTACTGTCTTTGTGCATTCAGTCCCTTTGTACATTCTGTCTCCTAAGGCTACTGTGGCCTTTGTACTTTCTCTTTTGTGGTGAGTCCCATGATGCCAGTAGGACTCACATCATAGGCACCTCCTGTGCAAGGGAAAACTCCCTTGGATCTCTTGTTGTATGCAGCCAGCCAAGCTCAAGGCTAAGAACACAGAACTCCTAAGAGTGCCACATTGGCCCAAGTCATCTGAAGCCACTGGAAGTTCAGAGATTTCCCAGAACTACCTTCAGGCTTAATGAGCTGATAGACTCAGTAAACTTCCTAAAAACTGTTACACTGTCCTCTCAGTCATGTTTGTTACAGACAAGGGTACAGCTTGGAAGAGGAGCCAGAAGTGTTCCAAATACTGAACTCCTGCATCTTCAGTGACTTGTTACCTCCTTGGATCCATATGTGACAATAGGTCCGTGGATATTGCCAACCCAGGAAATTGGCCGAAGCCTCAGTATCCAGATTTTTATTGAGCCTTCATTACCGAAGCGTGTTTGATTGAGTCATTGCCTATGGGACTCAAGTCTCTATCTAGCCCTTTGTTCCTTTCCAGAGGTCCAGCTGATACCTGGTGACTCAAAGCTTCAACTTTCTAATTATATGGTTGATTTTTCCGATGTGGCCAGACCTTACCCTGTGAGTCATCTCTTTGGTATAAGCGACGGGCCCACGATGAGTTATATATTGTCATAAAGTATCAGGTGCATTCCTAGGCACCCACCATGAATGACAAAGACAGGTCTGTCACTCTGGAACTACAAAGCGTTGAGAGGTTACCTCCTTGGAGCTGGGACAAAGACCATACTTCTTTTGGGGGAAAGTTAACTTTACATTATACACTTTCTGTCTTCTATCAGGGCTCCATTAGGTGCCTTTCCTAGTGTTCTTAACAGCAACGTCCTCGCTTAGACAAAACCAAACATAGAACATTCTTATTAGTCTTTCTGGCCGCATCCAGTACAGAATTGCAGCGGTGTGTCCACTCCAGACCCCTGTCTCCTATCTAGCTTCTCCTGGGTCTCCTTTTCATGGTGTCAACAGTCTAATACCTAGGGGGGAAAAAAAAAATTGCAATCCCAAGATTCAGAGGTAATAAAACATAAGAGACGGGCACTATTTTCATCTTCATTCTTTTCACTGAAATGCTGATGATACATTTTCTGTGTTGTCATTACTAACAGGCCTTTCTGTATATTGGGTTTCTTTCAGATGACAAGGGAAAACCCACGACTACAGAACTTTCCAGTTGTGCACCAGCCCTGTCTGGGGGGGCCTTGTTCCAGGAGCTAAGACAGGGAGACCCAGGGAACTTCCAGCTGGGCCAAACCAAGGATCAGAGTGGGTCATCAGAAATGCAGGAAGGACACTTGAGACTGGGCTTAGAACCCAGGAGAGAGAAGCTCCCTGAGAAAACAAGCCCTGAGCTTGGTGGTTTAGGAGCAGCTGATGGCGTGTGTTCACAGACGGCACAGGAGCTGACCCATCCAGGAGGTGCTGTCCATGACCATGACTCGTGTGGATCAGGTAAAGATCCCGTGATTCAGGAAGAGGAAAATACCTTTAAGTGCAATGAATGTGGGAAAACTTTTAATAAAAAGCACCTTCTTGCTGGACATGAGAAGATTCACTCTGGAGTGAAACCCTATGAATGCACCGAGTGTGGGAAAACATTTATTAAGAGCACACACCTCCTCCAGCACCACATGATCCACACGGGGGAGCGGCCCTACGAGTGCATGGAGTGCGGGAAGGCCTTCAACCGCAAGTCCTACCTTACCCAGCACCAGCGGATCCACAGTGGAGAGAAGCCTTATAAGTGCAACGAATGTGGGAAGGCCTTCACCCACCGCTCCAATTTCGTCTTGCATAAGAGGAGACACACTGGCGAGAAAACCTTTGTGTGCAAAGAATGTGGGCAAGTCTTTCGACATAGGCCGGGATTCCTTCGACATCACATCATCCACAGTGGCGAGAATCCCTACGAATGCTTCGAGTGTGGCAAGGTCTTCAAACACAAGTCCTACCTCGTGTGGCACCAGCAGACTCACACTGGGGAGAAGCCCTATGAGTGCAGTGAGTGTGGGAAAGCCTTCTGTGAGAGTGCGGCCCTCATTCACCACTACGTCATCCACACTGGGGAGAAGCCTTTTGAGTGCCTGGAGTGCGGGAAGGCCTTCAACCACAGGTCGTACCTCAAGAGGCACCAGAGGATCCACACTGGGGAGAAGCCGTTCGTGTGCACTGAGTGTGGAAGGGCCTTCACCCACTGCTCTACTTTCATCTTGCACAAAAGGGCCCACACCGGAGAAAAACCCTTTGAGTGCAAAGAATGTGGGAAAGCCTTTAGCACTAGGAAAGACCTCATTCGACACTTCAGCATCCACACTGGGGAGAAGCCCTTCGAGTGCTCAGAGTGTGGGAAGGCCTTCAACCGCCGGTCAGGGCTCACGAGGCACCAGCGGATTCACAGCGGGGAGAAGCCTTATGAATGCATGGAGTGTGGGAAATCCTTCTGCTGGAGCACCAACCTCATCCGACACGCCATCATCCACACCGGAGAGAAGCCCTATAAGTGCAGTGAGTGTGGAAAAGCCTTCAGTCGCAGCTCGTCCCTCACTCAGCATCAGAGGATTCATACTGGGAGAAACCCTGTCCGTGTAACCGAAGTGGGAAGACCCTTCACAAGCGGGCAGTCCTCAGTCACCCTCCGAGAACTCCTTTTGGGGAAAGACTTCTTGAATGTAACCACTGAGGAAAACCTTTTGCCAGATGAAACATCTACCGCGGCATTAGATCTGACCTACCAGAGAGAAACCCGCCAAGTATCTTCGCTGTGCCGGTCCAAGACCGTCGGTAGTCCGGTAGAGACACATTTTAGAGATTGACTGAGCCCAGAGCCTTATTCTGCGTCTGAGAATTCATCCGTGAGGGAGAGAGCAGGGTTTCTTGTGCACGAGGTAAAACCCTCAGCTGCATGTTTCTCCTTCGCTTCACTGCAGTGTTATCTCAGGAGTTTTTATAAAAAGAAGGTGGAGATGTAGAGGAGTGAATGAAACGAAAAACTTTGGGGACTTCTCTGCCCAGCTTACAGCACTTTGTCATGGATTCACATGTTTACGTGGGGCCAGGGCAGCATTGTAGATGCAGTGGGCCCTGCCCCCGTGCGCGTCACGTACACGTTCATCGCTGCCCAGTGTCGGCAGGGTTAGCCCATTAAAGACAAGCAGTAAAGTGATAAATGCACATGTGAGAACACATTTTATTCCACCATTTAAGACTCTCAAGCTTACATTTTTAGAAAACTGTTCTTTATTCGGTTTTAAACACCAAACAGACTTTTTTCAGACTTGTTCTTGGTCCATCTGTTTACTTAATTTCTATAGCAGTGTGGTAATCCTCAGAATCGGGTAACGTGATTCCGCTCTCTTTATCCTTTTTTAAATTGATTTAGCTTTCCTAATTCCTTTGACTTTTCATATAAATCTTAGGATACCAAAAAATCTTACTTGGATTTCTACAGGAATTGGTTGAAATCTGTAGCTCTGTTTATTGAAAATCAGCATCATGAACACCGTACATGGTATGACATTTCAGTTGTTGAAGTCATTCTTGGTATTTCACTACTGTTTTATAGTTTTTCACCATACAGGTTCTGTACATTTTTGTTGAGAATTGTATCTAGGGGTGTGTGTGTGTGTGTGTGTGTGTGTGAGTGATCATAAATGGCATTGATTTTTACACTTTCATTTTTCCTTATGATCCTTAGTAGTATGCAGAAAGGTAATTGTTGGAGTGATACTTTGGTATCCTGCAACCATGGTGAGCCCACATTATTTGTAGCCATTTCTTTGGGTAGAATCCTCAGGCTTTTCTGCAAAGACATGTCAGCTGCATATAGAGTTTTATTTCTTCCTTCCCATCTATATATCTGTTACTTTGTTTTCTTACTACACTAGTTATAGTGTAGTAAGTAACCCGATGTTGAATAGTAGTAAGAAAGGATGCCCTTAACTGATTCCTCAAATTAGGAGGAAAGTGTTCAAGTTTTCATCAAGTATGATGTTAGCTGAGGTTTTTTTTCCCCCTCCCCAAATTTTTCTTATCAAGTTTAGAAAATTCCCATCTGTTCTTAATTTTCTGAGTTTTTTGTTATGAATGAGTTGTTAGACTTTTTCAAATGCTTTGCCTCCATTAAATGATGTAATCATCTGATTTTTCTTCTGTAGCCTGACTGGTTGTGAATATTGAACCAGTCTTGCATCCTTGGAATAAATCCCATTTGGTTGTAGAGTATGAATTTTTTATATATATTTTATATTAAAACATTCCATTTTGATTATATTTTGTTGAGGTTTTCCTCTAATTTCTTGAATTCAGAATAATTTATATGTTGGATACATTGAGTAGTTTGAAGTTTGTCCTTTTCAAGGAATTGTTCAATTTCATCTAAATTAGTTTATAGACTTGTTTGAAATAGTTCCTTATTACCCTTTTAGTGGGAGCAGTATCTGTACTTTTATCCCATTTGATTCCTGATTTTGGAAATCTGTCCACTCTCTTTTTATTTTTGTCCATCCTCTTAGACATTTATCAATTCTACTGATCATTTTGGAGAACCAGCACTTTAATTCACTGATTTTTCTTTTTTGAGTTTTTAATTTTAAAGATTTTATTTATTTGACAGGGATCAGAGGCAGGCAGAGAGGCAGGCAGAGAGAGAGGAGGAAGCAGGCTCCCTGCCGAGCACAGAGCCTGATGCGGGGCTCGATCCCAGGAGCCTGAAATCATGACCTGAGCCGAAGGCAGAGGCTTAACCCACTGAGCCACCTGGGCGCCTCTTCACTGATTTTTCTCTATTGTTGTTCATAATTTCGCTGATTTCTGTTCTGATCTTTATAGCTGCTTCTTCGGTTGTATTTTACTTTTTTTTTCCTTTTCTAGTGTTAGCATTGGTAGTATAAAGTTTTCTCACAACACTGTGACAGCTGCATCCTGTAAGCTTTTATTACAGTTTATTCAGCTCTAGTGTTTCTTGATTTCTTTTGAGGCTTTAATGGGTTCATGGATTATTGTTTAGTTTTCTAGTGTTGGGAGTGTTTTTGTTATCTTTTGTTACTGATTTCTGGTTTGATCTGTTTAAATTTGTTGAAGTGTTTATGAAGTGGTCATGATCTTAGGGTCCTGGGATCAAGCCCCATGTCAGGCTCCCTACTCAGCGGGGAGCCTGCTTCTCTCCCTCTCCTTCTCCCCTCTGCCTGCCATTCTGTTTGTGTGCGCTCGTGCGCGTGCTCTCTCTCTCTCAGAGAATAAAAAATTCTCTCTCAGAGAATAAAAAAAAAATTTATTTGTAAATTTATTATTTACAAATAAATAAGTAAAATCTAAAAAAAAAATACTATCATTTTCTGCTTCAGGTATTTTAAAGCTCTGTTGTTTGGTGCATTCACGTTTAGTCTTGGTGTATTATCTTGTGTGTTGACCCTTTCGTTATGTGATGTCCCTTTTTTGTCCCTGTTCATTTTCTTGCCTTTGAAGCATACTTTGATATTAATATAGTCCCTACTGCATGTTTTGATTAATGTTTGCATGGCTTTTATTTTTCCATAATTTTATTTTGAACCTTATTTGTATCATTACACTTGAAATAAGTTTCTTGTAACAGCATATAGTTGGGTCTTAACTTTTTTATCCCTTCTGCTTTTTATCTTTTAATCAGTAGATTTACATCACTTAGATTGAAAATAATTATTGGTATGTTGGGGCTTAAGTGTACCATTTTTTAATTTGTTTTTGTTTGTGTTACCTTTGTATCATTCAATTTGTTTTCTGGTTGTTCTTGTTGTTTTGCTTTTCTGTTTTGTGTTTTTTTGTTATTGTTGTTTTGCCCTCCTGTGGGTTACTTCAACATTTTTTAGAATTCCATTTGATTTATCTATAATGTTTTTGAGTATTGTCTTAATTTTTGTATTCTAAGTATTTACGTACATAAGTTATCACAGTCTAATATTATTAGCATTTTAGCACTTTGATGTATAGAAACCTAAATTCCATGAGGTTCCTTTACATTTTCCATTTTTAATATAATTATTGTAAGTATTTCCTCTTTATACATTGAACACCATGTTGGGTGTTATAATTTGTGCTTGGGCTGTCACAACATTTGTTAGAAAACTCCGAAAAGTCTGGTCTGTTTACCTCTGTTACCCATTCCATTTTCTTTCTCCCTTCTTGAGGTCCCAGGCCTTCTGTTAACATCTCCCTTTGGTTTGGCAAATTTACTGTAGCCTTTCTTCTGGGGTAGGTCTGCTGTTGACAAAGGACTTTGTTTTCTTGCATCTGAAATTGTTTCTCTGTCCCTTTCATTCCTGACAGGTGTTTTTTGTGGGATAAAAGACTTGGGTTTACAGTTCTTTTAGTATAAGAAAAACATGTGACCTCCCTGTGTCCTCCATGGTTTCAGAAGAGAAACCTACTGCTGTTCAACCATTGTTCCCCTGCCTGTGCTGCATCATGTGTCGAGGGCTTTCAAGGTGTTTTTGTCTATAGAATTCATCAGTTTGATTACAGTGTGTTCTGGCATTGAACTTTTGGAGTTCTCCTGTTTAATATTTGTTCATCTTTTTAAATCTGAAGATATAGGTCTTACGCCAAATTTGGGGAGTTTTCAACAGTTAACGTCTTCAAATCACTTTTTTTTTTAAGATTTTTTATTTATTTAAGAGAGAGACAATGAGAGAGAGCATGAAAGGGGAGAAGGTCAGAAGGAGAAGCAGACTCCCCATGGAGCTGGGAGCCTGATGTGGGACTTGATCCTGAGACTCCAGGATCATGGCCTGAGCTGAAGGCAGTTGCCCAACCAACTGAGCCACCCAGGCACCCCAAATCGTTTTTTTCTTTATCCAGTCTGTTTTCTCTCTGTTACTCAGATTGATCAATTTCCACTGATTTTTTTTTTTTTTTAAGATTTTATATATATTTTAGAGCGCAAGCAGGGGAAGCAGGGGAGGGAGAAGGAGGCTCTTCATTGAACAGGGAGCCCAATGCAGGCCTCTATCCCAGGAACCCGAGATCATGACCTGGGCCATCTAGGCACCCCTCCATTGATCTTTCTTTGAGCTCTCTGATTCTCTTTTCTCTCATTTCCTCCCTGCTGAGCTTATTCAATGAGGTTTTGGTTTTGGCTTCTTCTCCTTTTTTTTTTTTTTTCCCCAGTTTAACCTCTCCTTTTTTATGTACTCTTATTTCCTTGCCTAGTTTATAATACCAAAGAAGGACTTTTAAAAAACAGGCAAAACTGTGCAGTCAAAGTCAGGATTCTCTGGTGGTTTATCTTGATATTGGAATAGAAATTCTAACGTATCTGGAGAAATGGAAGTCTTTTTATCTACAGATATTTCTAAAAATGCATCTTAAAACGGAAGGTGATCTGCAGATGACTCAGGGTTCTAGTCTTCAGGGGAGAATTGTGTGTAAAATTCCCCCCCTTTCTAAGCCTTATTATAGCCCCAGAGGAGAAGGGGTTCCTCCTCCTCAAGGATCACTCTTCTGTGGCTGGACACATACCTCCAACCCCCAACTTGTCTAGGGCCTCTTTCCTGTATACTCTCCCTGCTTGGTCTGTCTCCTTCTTAATCCCCTTCTAGCCGCCTCATCCGCACCTGTGTTCAGGTCTCTAGTCTCACCCCCAGGCACTTTCTGCCCCACAAGCCCAGTGAGCTCTGCCCTTCTCTTTCCTGGTGTGGACACACACCCTGTGTCACTGTTCCATCCACTGTCTTTCGCCACCCCATGTCCCTTCACCCCGCCGACAACTAAACAGTGGCCTCCAGCACCGTCACCTGACTTAAGCAAGTCTCCCAAAGTTCCCTCTTGTCCTCCCACCCTTCTCCACCACCCCCTCCCCCCACACACAGGCTGCGATGGCACCTTTTTCCTGCTGCCCACCTCTTTGACTTGAAGGCACTTTCCTGGCTTCTGTGAGCTCCTGCCCTGCTCTTTCAGAGGAACTCTGTCTTCCATCCGTTAAACAGTGGTGCTTCTCAGTCCGTCTGTCGCCCTTGCTTTCTGACTTGGGAGGGGTTCCATGAGTGAGTGAGTTTCTCCCCTTGAGGTATTTGACGCTCAGTGGTCTACAGAGTTCCCCAAGTCCTTGTCTCCAGGTTGAATGTTTCCTGTCTGGTCATCCTTGCACACCTGGGCAGTAATCATACACATGGAGCCTGTCTGCGTGTGCCGTGTGGTCATGGGCGTCCCCACAAGAATGAGGCAGTAACCAGCAAGAAAACAGGCAGACATGGTACGCTACTATGTTTCCGTCATTGTTTTGAATGTTTTCCACACATCAACTCTCCCTCTTTGCAATAACTCTATGTGGTAGGTCATGTTATCCCTGTTTTACTGATCAGAAAACGAAGGCACAAAGCATCTGTTGGGTTTAAGGTTAAAGCATCTGTCCAGGGTTTCACAATTGATTAGGAAGTATGGGATTTGGGACTAGAGGTCAGGTGGGCAGGCTGCAGAATCCATGCCCTTACCACTTTACTGCCTCTCTAGGGCAGGTCCGTGCACCCCTTCAGAATAGAACAAATCACTATCGTTTGTCTGCAAATTACTGTTCTCATTTGACACTATATCTTGACCATCCCTTTAGGTTGGGATAAACCAAACTCACTCTAACGGCTGCATAATGTGTTACAACTGCAGAAAGTGCAGACGAGGGGTGTGAGGGGTGGAGAGGTCGAGAAAGGCTAAGGCGTGCATTTGATTTTTGATGTGACGTGTTTGAGGTGCCCAAAATCTCAGTGAATATCACTGTCTTCTGACTTGTTGCCCAAGTCAGACACTTTGCAGCCATTTTCATCATCCCCACTTCAGCCATTGTCCCATTGTGTTCATTTTCACTTTTTCTCCCCCTTATAGCCTCAGTATATATGTGTCTTAGTGAATGGCCACACACAGCAGGGTGTTTTTTTTATTGTCTTGTTTGGGTCCC